TATTACGTGCATAATTAGTTGTTATTCTAGGTAGATAAAATAATGACAAATTACGTGATTGCGGTCGAGGACATCTTAAACAAATATTACTTAAAAGAAATGGTGAATGCACATGATTTCTGATAATTTTAAATAGAAAAAGTTCATCCTTTAGGCGTCGGCGATCCAATAGGGAGACTAAATTAGGAAATTCCTGATTATTGTTTTTTGATCTATATAATAAATGCTTATTAAATTTAATCTGGATGTTTTCAATTCTATTTATATATTTACTGTACTGTGGATTCCAAACGGAAGAAGCATATTCAAGTATAGAACATAGTAATAATAATTATAGTAACACCTTTACTCTAAGCACCAAGCACGCTTCACCTATTGTCATAAGAAAAGCTTGCGAGAAGCAACGTCAGCGAGCTTTCAAAGCCAACTTTCACAAAGCTCACAATACACTGCGTTTTTAATTTTCCTCCGAACGAAGCCCTAGAAGCCGCACAAATTCGGATCGATTCGAAATGGCTGAATGATTTTGAAGTTGTTTGTACATTCCAATTTGGAATGTTGTTTGTGTTTCAACTTGTATGAACAGTAGGTACTATCTATCAAAAGAAAATATATTTTTTTTATATTATAATAAATTGATTAGGTAACTAATTATGTATGTTTGTATCGAGATTTTAGCAATGATATTCAAAGAACCGGGTACTAATTTTAGAAATAAGAGTGTTCATTTGTAGGTATATTTGTCCTTTTTTCATGCAGGAACAGAGCAACAAAAAGAGAGTTAATGCAAAAATTATATACCTATTACAAGTAGGGATTGTGATATTTTGGATTCTTTGATACCATTCTTGGAATTGAGATAGACGTTTGTAAGTCACTTTTTTGTTTAAGACAGTTGTTTAGTTTTATTTATCCCACGGGAATCGTACATAGTCACGGGATAAAAAGTAACCTATGTGCTATTCCAGACTATAATTTATCTTTGTGCCACATTTCATCCAGATCCGTTCAGCCGTTCTGGCGTGATTGAATAACAAACATCCATCCATAGAAACCTTCGCATTTATAATATTAATGGGATAATGGAATTAAAGTAAATTCGATGACATATCAAGGCTCGTGTTAATTTATACTATAGATAATAGATATTATATGGAATAGATCGTAAGGTATGGACTGTACAGACTACGGGGGCAAATCTTATCAAAAATCCATTCCATTCTCACAGTCCTTGAAAAAACAATCCGGCACGACCGGAGAGAGACGTTTGCTAGCCACTGCAACTATTAGTCGTCTCGCGATTATCCATACTAATATTATAAATGTGAAAGTGTGTTTGTTTGTTTCACGTCGAAACAAAGTGACGGAATGGCGTGATTTTTTGTGTAGAGATAGTCGGAGGGCTTGAGAGTGACATAGGGTAATTTTTACCGCGGGAGTTTACCTAATTCCCACGGGAAATCACTTTACAATACAATCCAAGAAAATATTTATGATCAGAATTACTTGAAACTTGGTATTAATAATCTTCAATAAAATTAAATAAATAAGTATTTCAGCATTTTTCGAAATTCATCCTATAAGGGGGTAAAATAGGGGATGAAAGTTTGTAGGACTTACCTTTTTAGAGATTTTTTCGTAGTTTTAGCGCGAGCGAAGCCGCGGGTTCTGCTTGTAATCATATAATGTGCGAATTCTCTTACATCTTTATAGCTCTCGACTTACTTCCCCCACTGTGAAGAGTGCGACTACTGCAGCTGTTGCTGAGTGGAAAAGCGTGCTCATTTTAGAAATGGACTTCAAGTTTTTTCAATTTATTCTTAACACGCAGACTTCACTTGAAACAAACGAAACCACACGACAAAACGTTATGCTTATTGATTATAAGTATGTTAAAATTCAAAATTCATTATTTAAATCTTGGTATTTTAGTTTAGAAATATGTATATTTATTATTTAAAAAAATCTATTGTAAATATTTGATACGCATCAAATTTTGGTGACTGGTGATGACTCTCTACTTAATTATATTTGTATATTAAGTATATTGTATTCTATGTATTGTATATTTTTGTATTGCTAAGCTAACTCTGTATAAAAAATACGTTTTATGAAATTAAAAAAAACCACTGCGTAAAAGATTGTTCTTTTTACCCGACTGCGCGACGCAAAGGAATGACGCGTTTTTTGTGGCACTCTAGAGATCAAACGTGTTCAAAATGCTAAATATTACTGCAAATGTCTTATAGGCAAAAACTAAAAAGCTGTAAAAAAATATATATTATTATAAAAATAAAAAACACGACTGCATAAAAGCTAACTAAAAAGATGAAAACAAGTTGCCGAAGGAATATAGTAATATGCAGTTGGAGGCATACATTGTGTGTATATGTGTGTACATCTCGCGGTAAGGATGAGACGTGTATGTACCTACTAACTAGGTATGTTTCCGGATGTCTGCATAATACTATATTGAATATTTCTTCGTCAACTTGTTTTCATCTTTTTAGTTAGCTTTTATGCACTCGGGTTTTTTATTTTTTACTTAGTTTATTACGCAGTCGTGTTTTTATTGATGTCAATTTTTTTTTATTTACAGCTTTTTATTTTTAGTCAGTTCGATATTTGTAGTTTTATTTAACAATTTCTTATCCTAAATTTTGAGCTCTTATGGAGCTCGAACCACATCTCACCAAATCTCATTTAGGGGAAGAAACAACACGGTGCGAATTAAAAAAAAAGTAGTAGTTAATGTGAGCAATAGCAATAGCCAATACAAAGATAAATATCAAAAACTATTAACGTGTCAATTGGTTAAAATACATTTGCATAACAGATTTTGTTGCATAATTTTGTAGGTTAAACAAGACAAAATAAGAGCATAATGTTGATATCAGACATGAGCAGATGAAGTGTCCATAATCATTCTTAATCTATAGTATTTACTATTTGTTTTATGGGGTATTTCATATGAAGCGGACAGGAAAAAAAAAGTGAGGTTAGGAAATTTCTTCATATGCGGGTTATTTATACCTCTAGTAGGTATGAAAGTGGATACGTAACGTTTTTTTTCTACGATGTTTATTTTTAAAGTTATGGGCCTTTGAAAAATAATCATAATCCAAATGTCGATGATTTAGATTTAGTTTTTCGAATGGGGAAAAAATACAAACAACTATTAAACTTGGCGTTTTGTAAAGGTTTTAAGTTGCTCTTTTTAATAATAAATGATTTTTTGAAATTAAAAAAAGAAATATGTACAAAACCGAAAGTGAAAATTTCAAAACAATTTTTTCATCACTCCGACCATTTTTTTTTTATTTTTTTTTACACGCAAATATAGCCTATAGTATTATTAAAAAACACTAAAAGTTTCATAGTGGAGACTCTATTACTTAGAAAGATGGATAAATTAATGTACATGCATGTCGCTCTGAGCGTGATGCTTCATACTAATTTATGTCAGTTACTTGGCGAAATTTGAAGTGTAATCACATGTATCATTGTATTTAAGCGAGTTTAAGGTCGGAAAACGTAGGGTTTATTATTTGCTAATTTTTACAAGCTTGTATTACTAGTCAATGCTTGGTCCAATGTTCCTTAAACATAGCTAACTTTGATGTTAAAGGTCAAAGCTTTCGATTAAACCTATAACACCACTCTTTTTTGTCGTGGGTTAAACTACAACATTTTAAAAATAGATTCAACTTTATTAGTCTTAGTCATTATGAGGATGATTTTTATACGAAAGCAGAGGCACACTTTCACGCAACATCTCATGGTAAGGGGCCCTGCAATGGTCTTGGAGGGAACCTCAAACGTTCGTTTGGCGACTCGTGCAAGTCTACAATTACCTCCAAACAGATCAAGTAGAAAAAAAATATTACGTATCCACTTTCATAGCTTTTTTTTTAACGTTGGGAAATGCATTTACGCACGACGTGTGGGACTCACCGGCGTAATACAGCCAGTACTACCCACTAAAACCCAACAAAACATTCCCCCGTCTTAATGGGGCGTCGCAGGATCGCTTACGCATTCAACTACGACGCCCCGACGGCAGGTCTGCCGAAGCAGACCACCACAACCATGGGGTTGCTCCAAGGTCCACTCTGCTATCAGAGAAGTACCAGGAGCAACCCGCATGGCACACCGCCCTCCGAAGAGGGCCACCTCCCACCACCCACCGACCTCCCTGTGCGTTTCTTAGCTTTGCGCCCGGTTGGATTGCCGGGCACTACTGAGCCCCCCCACCACGACAAGGTGAACGCACGTTGGGGGGATCCACTTTCATACCTACCAGAGGTATAAATAACCCGCATATGAACAAATTTCCTAACCTCACTTTTTTTTTCCTGTCCGCTTTATATGAAATGCCCCTTATATAAAAAAGTTATCTTTCTCATCTTTGTACAATGTCGCCACCATTATTAAATCCTAGAATGAATTTTGAATTACCTAATAAAATGGTGATTAATTAGGAACATATTTATCATAAATCTCTTTCAACGATATTAATTGTAATAAAGAATCGGCATTGCCATTCAACGGGGGAATGCGGCTAGCATTCTTGCCACTATTCCACGCGAACATGACTTGTACAGTAATAACTAAGTGTACATATGTTTGTATATATAATTAAGTATATTTGTAATTTTCTTTTTTATAAATAAAAAAATTGTAATATATTAATTTATTACAATTAATTTGATCATATAATAAACAATAAACATTTACTTTATGGTTCAATCCAAAATAATGACGTTGTAATTCATAAAGGCAACACCGGTTTGTTGTTTTTTATTTTTATTTTGACAACACCAAATTTTCAAACGTCAAATTTTATTGTCGCTAAAATTTCAGTCATATTTTCGAAAAATATTACGTGATTACAAAATAGTCGATGAAAACGCAAACTCAATCGAGAGTCTTCACCGTGGTCGCCGTTTAATGCGGCTGTCATTAGCATATAGTGTGTGACCAAAGGTTTGCATAAATGAATGATGTCGTTGAGGTCGAAGGCCCTAGCGCTGGTGGAGGTGTTATTAAGAGTTCCACCGTTATTTGTGGTGGATGAGTTCTTAAAGATCAGCCTGGGGTTGCCAGTATCAACTGGCGAGGAGGTATCCGTGCTGTCGAGTGTGACGGTCGACCACGTCGATATAAGTGACTCCGATACAAATTACTACGACGCTAACTTCTACAACGCATTCTTCTTAACACTCCTCAAATTCGTCGTTTGCTGCCTAGGTAAGTAATTATTTTCATTACTGAACTCACAATTTTGCAACCATAAGCTAACAGTTACTCAAATGGTGTTTCGAAATTTAGGCTCTAGTGTCACAATGTTCTTTAAAAGATTTCTGTGTGTTTTTGTAAAATCTTGGGCATTAGTATAAAACCTATTATATGTTGTAAGTTTATACAACAATATAAAAACATTAAATTCATGATTTTACTTCTTTCCTGTTATTTTAGTAATATGTATTTATTGATAATAATTATGAATATGTTATATGTGTAACAAATATCTTTTTTTTTTATAATTTACTAGCGACTCACCCTCGCTTCGCTTGGTTTTGTCCCTAGTTTGATTCGACATACAAACTTTCATCCCCATTTTCACCCCCTTGAGAGATGATTTCCGGGATACTTGTGTATCCTATGTCCTTCCCAGGGTCTCAAACTATCTTCTTACAAAATTTTATCTAAATCAGTTCAGTCAGTAGATACAGAGATTACTCCCTACAATGTCACAAACTCATGAACTTGACCTCTTTATAATATTGGTATATTTAGATAGCAGCATATGTTAATTTCTAAATCTGAGGATAAATTCCTTGAGTATAAATTTAAAATAATACAATAAGTTGTAAAGAAGAATAAGTTTTAAATTAGGAATTCATGTCAGTCATTCATGAAATATTAATAATTATATATAAATAATACCAAATATCAGATCGAAGCCTCAAAGGACTATTACCAGAACTGATGGGACAATCATGAACAGGAAAAAAATTTATTTGTTTTTCATAAAAGTCCTCTAAGTGCACCAAAAATTATATTACTAATAATATAATGAATGAAAAAGAATTTTTATTTGCCCCTACTCCATGCCGTAACAAAGCAAAAGTACAACACTGTTGAATTTGAATTAAAACAGCTTACAATTTGGACAGTGTTTAAAATACTGAATGTAATGTATGTATGTATTCAACCCTCCTTAACATCCCACTGCTGAGCACGGGCCTCCCTTCAATATGAGGGGGATCAGGCCATAGTCCACCACGGTGGCCAAGTGCGGGTTGGCAGACTTCACATGTCTTTCGAAAACTTGCTAGGTTCTCTCAGACATGCAGGTTTCCTCACGATGTTTTCCTTCATCGTAAGGCAAGTGGTAATCATGTTGAAAAATGATTCGCACATAAAAATGTCAGAGGTGCGAGACCCGGGATTTGAACCCGCTTCACTCGGTTACCCATGCGAGCGCGTCACCACTGGGCTACCACTGCCTTTTGAATGTAATAATGGATAATAATTAAGGCCTTGTGTAAATTATTTTTTTGATTGCAACTTGGACTATGCAATTAGGTTGAATATAATAAATAAATAATGTGCACTTCAATTTGGCCTCTAATAATTGAAAAGTCACAATAATTGAGACCGTCAAGAACATTATGAACTGGATTTTTAAGGCTATTAGTATATACAAAAAATATTTAAATCTTAAAAATGAACCATATGCCTACATATATTACTATTATTTTTTACATAAAAAATTTAAATCATTTGTATGATAATAGCCTAAAAATATTTCATATTTACAAATTTTTTTTACCATACTATGGATTATTTTATAAGCCTAAACAGTTATTATAACACTAGCATTGCCCGCGGCTCCGTCAGCGTTCAGATGACCAAAAACCAAATTCTTAGGTTTTATTTATTAGTATACTCTTACGTTGCAGTTTTTTGTATTTTTTCTCAGAAATAAGATATTTTCCCGCGGTAAAAAGTATCATATGAAATCCCTCCAGTGGTTTTCATCAGTGGGTTCCATTTTCCAAATCCCCCCTCCCCCCCCATAACTTCGTTATGGATAAAGCTAGAAGCCTGAATTTTCAGTGACTAAGAGAACATAATTTAACTAGGTATATTTCCAAATTATAGTAATTTACATAGATAAACTCTATATACTACAAGCACGATGCATGACCTTTGGATATTCATTTTTATTAAAACTTGATTGTGTAACAACTTCTTTTTCTATGTTCTTCATATGATGTCTTTTATTAGTCACATATCAAAAATCCTTGAAAAAGTCATAAAACGTTATTAAATTGATTTAGTATGACATACATAATATGTCATACTAAATCAATTTAATAACATTTTATCTATACATATAATAAAATTGTAACTAAGCCGAATCTGTACATTAAATATTTTTTGGAAAATCTTATTGAAATAAAATATGTATGTATTTAAAGTTATATATGTGTAGTGTATCAACTATATAGTATCCATAACACAAGCCTCGTAGCTTACCATGGAACTAGATGGTGCTGTGTGTGTGTGTCCCAACGTATTTATTATTATCGATACAGAGGCCGAAACTATAGTTTTTATGCAATAATAAACTCATGAAATTGCAAGGAAAACCAATGAACATCAATGCTGGTTGTATCCTGTCATACAGTGGCTGGCATTCCGCACTAGCACTTAGCGCTATGAGTCAACAAAAGGATCACGATAATTTACTATTCCGTCTCTCGTTGTTTCGAGTATGTACAAAGTAGGTAGGCATGTAGTTATATCTGAATTTCGCAGGTAACGGTACTTAAAATGAGCTCACAAGTTCATTTACGTTTGAAATAAATTGTGTAAATATACCATTGTAATTTTATTTCTCAATGTTTTTTAACTGTAATTGAGTTTTTTTATTTTACTTTTTATTTTACATTTATTTGTGTATTGTTAATTTTTTACGATTTATACAATAATTTACATAAATTTAATTTATAAAAATGTTTGCGTTACTTTTAACCTTATTATACCTTTGTATAAAAAAATTGCAAAAAAATAATACGTTCTAAGATGAAGACTGGCTAACGGCTGATTTTATCGATCATAAGTTAAATTTTTCAAATGAAGGAATTAAGGTGTGGTTTATTATTGTACTTATCTATAACTTTTTTTTATATTATTTTTTCTTTTATTAATTTTACATAACTATCTTTAACAAATTTATGCACGTTATCTATATTTGACATTTTAAGTTTTATTTCCACTATTTCTGTACTGGGTTAACCTCCCGACATATAACATCAACTGTCCAAAGTTTTCTCGTTATTCTGGGTAAATAATACATACACTATAGACACACATACGAACATTCATTTTTATATACAGAAAATGAAGCATATTGTCATACAATACATCATAAAATACTAACAATTGTTAAAAAATATTATACACTAGCAGAACCCGCGGCTTCGCTCGCGCTAAAACTACAAAAAAGCTCGAAAAACGTAGGATTCATACAAACTTTCATCCTCTATTTTACCCCCTTATAGGATGAATTTCGAAAAATGCTTAAACACGTATTTATTTAATTGTAATGCAGAGCATTAATACCAAGTTTCAAGTCATTCTGATCATAAATAGTTTTTTGAATTGTATTATAACGTCTTTTCCTGTGGGAATGAGATGATCTCCCGCGGTAAAAAGCCTATGTCACTCTCCAGCCCTCCAACTATCTCCACACAAAAAATCACGCCAATCCGTCGCTCCGTTTCGGCATAAAAGAAGGACAGACAAACTAACAAACACACTTACATTTTTATAATATTAGTATGGATAGTATGAATATACAATTTTAGTTGTTAAAAAATCAACATTAACCACGAGTCAGTAGGTCAAGTTTACAACACGTCATGTTTACCAAATTTATTTATCCATGCCTTCGTAATCAAAATGCAGCATTTTCAATTTCTTGAAAAACCTTAATTGCTATAACATCCGCATTGTACTCGTACATAGAATGCATTGGAGGAATGCGTGGGTGTGTAACAAAATAATAATACAAGAATCATGGGGTCTCATCACGAATAAAGAAAAAATAGTTTAAATAAATGTCAATAGATGACGTTACATGTATTGATTTGTTATTAAAGTTGTGTTTAATTAATAAAAGATAAAAAAATGATCCCAAAAAGATAGGTATAATATAATAAATTACCTACCTTTTTCTAAAATATTACCATTGTTTCAAAGAATATTCTAAGTGGTGGGCAAAGAAATAATGCGCCCGTAAATCAAATTTGCATAATTTTACTAATTTTATTGAAATATCAGCAATCAGATGGTGCATTTATATTGTTTATTCACATATGGCGCTTTTAATTTTTATGAATTTTTATCAAGGGTAAAAATAGTTAAAATCACAGATTTTTTTATTAGAATTCAGCATGAATTTTACAATTTTACCATTCGTTAGTTTGCAAATACATATTTATAAAATAAAACAGAATGAAATAATAGATAGATAGATAAAGGCGACTAGTCGGCCACTTTTGTAGTCGGCGAATAGTCGGCAAAAAGGGCCGACTAATCGGCTTCTTACTTTGTACGTATTTTTTAATCAATCCATCAAAATATACTTTATTCAAATAGACTTTTACAAGCTCTTTTAAATCGTCATTTTTACATTATGAAAATAAATATTATACATTAAATATCTGTGTGTAAGTCCGTGAGGAAACTAATAAAATATATGTATTTACAGCCCTTTTTCATGTTACAAATGATTCGCACATGAAAATATCAGATGTGCGAGACAGAGATTGAACCCGCATTACTCGGTTATCCACGCAAGCGTGTCACTGGCTATCACTGTCGCTATAGCTAGAGAGCCAGCTTAAATCTGACAACACATATTTTACGATACCTGAAATTTTGTCCAGCTATTCTGCTATACCCACTGAACAAGCAATGGGTGCTAGTTAAGCCCGACCGCGGAAGCTCTCTCTCAAAGGTTGTCTATTAGTTTGATTCAAATAATTTATTATTAAATAATAAAAAGACAAAATTAATAAAATTCTCAACACCTAATGTCAAACTGATGATGGTGTAATATTAAATGGCGAAGTGTTAAAACCTGTAGAGTCCACTAAATTCCTAGGTATTATCATAGATTCGAAATTGCAGTGGGGCCCCCATATTGAGGGGCTAGCGAGTAGACTCGGCTCTGCAGAGTTCGCGGTAAAAAAATAAGACTTCTTACTGATGTAGATACAGCTCGTATAGTATATTTTAGTTATTTTCATAGTATTATGTCTTATGGTATCTTACTATGGGGAAATGCAGCTGCTATTAATACAATTTTGGTCCTGCAGAAAAGAGCTATTCGTGCAATTTATGGTTTAGGTCCTAGAGTGTCATTAAAAGATAAGATTAAAGAAATAAAAATATTGACTGTTGCTTCTCAGTACGTATACGAAAATTTTATGTGTGTCCGTAAAAATATACACGAATTTTCCAAGAAGTGGGACATGCATAACATTAATACTAGGAGCAAACACAAACTTGTAATGCCTGTGACTCATCTACACAGAGTCAGTAATTCTTTTTATGGACAATGTATACGCTTGTACAACAGGATCCCAGAAAATTTTCAAAACGCTTCTATCGCCAAATTCAAAAAAAAAAGTTACAGAACATTTGTGTGCTAAAGGCTAAATGATTTTATAGAAGATGGAACACCTTGGGAATAAAATGATCGCCTCCAGGCTACTTCAACTTGATAGAAATATTGTAAATTATAATTTTACTTTAAAAAAAGATAACAAGTTAATATTAGTCCCGCTGAGTTTCTTTCGCCAGTTCTTCTCAGGTCTGAGGCTTCTTCTTTCCGAACTGGTAGTGGACTCATGACGTTCAGTAAAAAATTGTAATAATTTAATGCTGAATAAAATATTTTGAATTTTGAATTGAAGTTGACGGAATAGGTACTGTTGAAGGTAGTTCTGCTTGGATTTGCGACTGAGAGAAATCGTCTGTGGTCGAACATTTAACGAAGAACTTAACTGAGGTATCAGGCTTGGATGTCAGTATTTAATATGGTTGTTCATACTTGTAGTATTAGCTGTATTCCCATGCCCGCCACGAGAAATTATCATTTGGCATTGGTTACACTTGACTTTGCGGGAATCATTGTCCAATTGTTCAAAAAAAATCTATTTACGAGACTTTCTTTTTGACATTATTAAATTTTAATTAAACTTTTACACTTTAATGAACAATAGCACTATTAACTTTACAAAAAAATATTTTTTTACACAAAAACACCGCGCTGACCCGCACAACAGCAAATTTCAAGAAACAATGCGAAGTAAACAAAACAGATTCTGACACGTTCGCGGGCGGCGGCTGCGACTTGAGCGCGAATGAGCGGTAAACAAAAGCATCAGGGAAAACCCCCGAAACAGTGATCGGTTTGGCCGACTAGTCGGCCTCTTTACAGCCGACTAGTCGGCCTAAGTCGTAGTCGGCACATCTTTAATAAATACTTTATTGCACACACAAAAGAAGTTTACAAAAGATGAAACCAAAAAAAAAATAACAAAGAGGCATGGAAAGGCGGTCTTATTGCTGCAAGCAATCTCTTACAGACAACCTTTGGTGAAAGGATTAGTAGAATCATAGTGGGACGGTACAATTAACACTAAATACAGACATGATAAATAAATAAATAAATATGTCAGGACATTAACACACAACACCATCTAGTTCCATGGTAAGCTACGAGGCCTGTGTTATGGATACCAGATAGTTGATACATTATACATATATAACTTTTAAATACATACATATTATAAATATAAACACCCATGTCTGGAGTACAAGCATTCGTGCTCATCACACAAATGAATGCCCCCAGCGGGACTCGAACCCGCGACCGCTGGCGCAGCAAGTAGGGTCACTACAAACTGAGCCAAACGTGTCGTCAAACGATGATGAACTAAGTTTACAAACATGAATACATACATAAGACAAAAATATATACATGTATAATATATACGTACACATATACATATATATTCAATAACTAACAAGACAATAATTAGACGACGTTTAAAAATATTTAGTGAGTTTGGATGGTGAACATCATGAGGGAGCATATTCCATAGCTTCTGTAATAGACCATACCATAGTAATTTGTGGTGCAAGATGGTAATTTCTAACGGTTGTCGCACTTAGACCTAGTTGCAAACCAGAGACGTCCGAACCCAGAAAATTAAAGCGTTCCTTTAAGTAAAAGGGAGTAGTTGGGTTATAAAGGATGGAAATAATTCCAAAAATTATAAAATAAGATTGTACAAGAGATAGCTTTTGCACTTGATATATTGGAAAACATGTATCCTATGGCAGTAGGCACGTAAACTGTCTCTATGCATTAAAAAAATAATATTTGCTACGACATCGATGTTTTCAAATATTAATAAGAATAAGTTGACTATTTCCTGATAATGAGGGATTTTTTATTGTTATTTTACAAATTTTAATTTTATATGTATAATATTGTGTTATAACTGTACGTTATAACAATTACAAATGAGTAACATTTTTAAAAAATCCTGCACTTAATTTATCGTAAAATACGTCATGAAAGTTTTTAAATCGTGATTAAACTCATTTAATGTGGTATTTTCATTTATACGTTATGATAAAGATTTTAGAAAACACAAAGAAACAGTGATACTAAAAAGTAGACTTTAAATATGACGTATAAGTAATTTAAAAACTTGGAATTCTACAAATAAACAATATGAAAACTCTTCGGCATACATGAAATTATAATTAACTGTATTTCATTAGACTTATTAAGCACTTTTGAACGTTTCAAAACCTGCAAAATCTATAAAGCTATGTAACAGCAGTCCGTACTTTTACAACACAAAATCAGCGTGAAAATATAAAATTAAATTAACCTTGTTATAAATTAATATTTCAAAACGAAACTCGGGAGGTGTGTAAAAGTACTGGGCCATTTCAGTTAAAAATGTTATATAAAATACTAGCGGCTCACCCCCGCTTCGCTCGGGTTCGCCTCTAGGAAGACAAACACAAACCTATCCCAAGGGGCCGCACATTTTTCCGGGATAAAAAGTAGGCTACGTATTAGTCCAGACTATAATCTATCTCTGTGCCAAATTTCATCCAGATCCATTCAGTCGTTCTGGCGTGAAAGAGTAACAAACATCCATACTCACAAACTTTCACATATTTATAATAAATATTAGTATAGATGTAATGTTAATTTTATTCAGGAATTTGTATGACTCAAAATTCTTTCTTATTTTTATTATTTTTTAAGCATTATGTATGTATGAACTCTCAACGTATTCCAACCTTTTAAATAAAACTATCTTTTCGGATTTTGTCGCGGACATACAACATATATCCGCGACAAAATCCGAAAAGATAGTTTTATTTAAAATGTCAAATATTCGCGTAAATCTAAGAAAGTATTATGTATTCCAACCTTGTTGTGAAGTTACGTACTAAGTCTTGACATTGCCGACTTGTGACCTTCGCTTACCAAATTTTGAATATTAAAGACGAATGACCATACCACTGTCCAAATATAAAATATTTGCTTTGTACTGCCTTCATAAGTAGTATATGTTTTTTTCACATCTTTAATAAAGTCTAGCAAGTCAACTCCCTGTGATTATGACCTCGCATCTATTTTTACCAACGCGAATCGCAACCGCGCATTATTCATTTTGAATAAAAAAGTTTTTGAGTGATACGTGTGACATAAATACAAAGTTAATACTAAAACTTGATATTTTTTTTTCTTTATTTCAAGCTTCCCGAATGTACCTACAAGTTTAACCGTGTCAAAATTTTACTTAACTGCATTCATCACTTTAATTATTTTTAATTATATGTCAATCTGTTGCACACATTTGTTAGCTTATAATGAACAAAAAACTTGAAAATCTTCTTTTTGACAGTCTTATATGTATGAATATTACTACCCCTAATTTGCTGGTAGATAATTATTTTAAATTTAAAGTAGGTACCTTTTAGTTAAAAAGTAATTATCATATAAAAATATTACATTAAACATAATGATTATATCTATAAATTTTCATTATTTAATAAAATATATCAATGAAGTAATTTTGGCAATGACCTGCTATATCTGATTAAGGCTGTTATTATATTTGATCTCACGGCCAAACTGCAATCTGTATTTTTTATTAGTCTATGAGAATGTTAAAATAATATTTTAACCCACTTATTTATTTCTTTTTCAGGATGCACGTCGGCGCTCTGCATCTTCGTGCTGTACACGAAGCACCTGATCATCGTGTATCTGTATCTCATGTCATTAGGCATCGTCTTCGTCTCCTATTGGACGAACGTGTCCGCCATCAAACAGATCCAGTCGCTAACACTAGCCGTTACGACACACCCCTCGACGAGCATATTAGAAGATATTTTAAATTTAAACGTGAAAAATTTACTTGATCTCGAAGGACCAGGGATCCTGGTCATACAAAATTTTGCTATACAGTTCATATTGGCGGTCCTCTTCAGAAATGTTCACCTTGGTCCGCGACACCCGACCATACAAAAGCTTCTGCCTTTAAGCTTCATGGCTCCCTCTTTTTTAGCCATGCTACCAGTTCCACCGAATCTCTTACACCACTCTCCCGTCTTTTCCGCCCTTTTGCCTTTATGTCTCGTGAAGTATGTGTTGTGGTCTTCGGGTTATGACGTGGTGCAAGTCATATATGCTGGCTATCAGCATGGAAGATTGTTTGTCAGCCATAACGGACTATCAGCGCTAGTTGAAACAGAATGGATGCGTTTAAACGTGCCATGTGTTCTGCGAGTATTTTGGGTAGTGCGAGTCGCAGAACATGCAATATTATTACTAATGGACAATTACGATGAAGACACTGATGAAATCTTGAAGGTTTCAACCTTGTTAGCTGTACAGTCGTTGGCGTCGATGGCTAAATCTTTATTAGTAACGGGCTGTGAAACCATAACCGCAGTGCTCGGCATGACATCTGTCATATCGTTCTTTTGTCATTACATCGGGAATTTTTTCCAATGGATACTGTTGACGGACGAAGAGGAGGACAAAAGTATTGGGACGGTCTCCGCGATACTATTCTATATACTAGCGTTGCAAACAGGCTTAACGTCTCTCAATCCAGAGAAAAGATTCATCCGATTGTGTAGGAATTTTTGTTTGTTGTTCACAGCTCTATTGCATTTCTTGCACAACATCGTTAATCCAATGTTGATGTCTTTAAGCGCGTCGCACAATCCAAGCACTCATAGACACGTCCGTGCACTCGGCGTTTGTGCCTTTCTCATCATATTCCCAATCTCTCTACTCGTCTACTTATGGTCGCAACACTCTATATCGACCTGGCTCTTGGCGGTTAGCGCCTTTAGTATAGAAGTCATAGTCAAAGTGATAGTCAGTCTTATGATTTACTCCCTCTTCCTATTCGACGCATATAGAAGCACGTTTTGGGAACAGTTGGACGATTACGTCTATTACATACGAGCTTTTGGAAATACGATAGAGTTTTGTTTTGGAATATTTTTGTTTTTCAACGGCGCCTGGATTTTGTTATTCGAATCTGGTGGCGCTATAAGAGCAGTCATGATGTGTATACACGCGTATTTTAATATCTGGTGTGAAGCCAGAGCTGGGTGGTCAGTGTTTATGAAACGGCGTACGGCCGTTAATAAAATTAATTCGTTAAGAGAGGCGTCCGCAGAGCAACTGCATCGTTTGGACGATGTTTGTGCAATATGCTACCAAGAGATGCATTCAGCTAAGATAACACGCTGCAACCACTTCTTTCACGGCGTGTGTTTGAGAAAGTGGTTGTACGTGCAGGACCGATGTCCTTTATGTCACGACATATTATATAAAATAGACAATGATCCTAATAAGGATAGCTCAGAGGCTGCCAATGAGGAAAACAGTAACAACCAAAACTTACTCCTCGAAGAGGAGCCAGATATGCTCCTCAACGACGGAGTAAGGTGACTGACTGATGAAGACTTACAAGTTTTAGAATAAAATCAAGTTTAGAGTTCGATTTTTTTTCAGTGGTATTTTTTTATTTTGTATAGTAAGTTATTGTTGTTTAATATATTTGAATCAGTTTGATACTGTGATTTTAAAGTTTAAATTCTGTCTTGTGATGAATGGGTTTATAGATCAGTGTGACTTTAGTGTTAAGTCGTCGTATACGCTTGGATTGTCGATGCGCCGTTACCATTTTCATAATTACATATCCTTTTTCCACGTTTTAAAATCGCTAGTGCAACTAACAAAAAACAATAAAGTTTTGAAAAATCAAAGACGCAAAGCTATTTGTAAATAGTTAAGGTATTTAGAAATAGCTTTTTATTATATAAAAATATAAAAATAGTAATTTTTCTCATTAAAATGTAAATAAAACTTATTTTAGTGTAACGCTTGTTTCATTTTGTGTATATGAATTTCATCAAAGTGTTTTAATTACAGTACTTATATGAATTTGAGAAAATATTTTTAATGTGGGAAATAAAAACATTAGGAAGGTGAATAAATTTATTTTAAAGGCATATAAAAACAAAAAATGGCAGTAAAGAGATTTATCTGTGTATACAATAGTTTAAGGCAACACAAAAATGTCGATGTGTATGTTGTTTTAATACACAACATTTAAATACTGAAATGTTTTAAAAAACGCAACAAGAGACAAGATGTTTTAGTATATTTTACTATATAATAATAATAAAATATATAATATATAATAAATGTTCCAAGAGTAACGTGAGAATTAATTTTGATAGAAAAAAGCAAAACTGTAATGGAAATTTCGACAGAATGTGTACAAGTTATAAATAGCGCAGGTCATTTACCTCAAATTGCAATTACATACAGCTATACTATATTATTTATATGACGTACTGGATGAACTGAGTCAATGAAAAATTACATTTTTTAACCAAATATGACATGTTTTCCTATCAAAACTTCTTGTTAGTTTTGGGACCTATATATTGGCTCTATGCTCAATTTCCTTTAAATATTTAATATTAGTTGTTTATTGATATTTAAAAAAATATCTATTAAAGTCAAGTCTTACAGCAGCTAAAAATTTTTAATATAAAAAGGTATCGTTTGTATAATTATTTAATTGTATATAGTTTTATGTGTATGGCCCATTAATTTGAATGTCTTTATTATTATTTTTCCTGTATTTCTCAGACTATTACCACATATTAGATTAGAATACCAATTTTATCGTATATTTTTAATTCGAGTTCTTTAGTTATCTATACATATAAAAAAATTGTAATAGACATTATTATCGATACAGAGGCCGAATCTATAGTTTTTAGAAGTTTTGTCTGTCTGTCTGTCTCTCTGTTACCGCATCACAGAAAAATCACTGGAAGGATTTTGATTAAATTTGGTATGGTGATAGCTGGTTATCCGGGTCAACATATTGGATAGTTTTTACCGCGGGAAAATACGTCATTTCTAAGAAAAAATGCCAAAACTGCAACGTAAGAGTATACTAATCTGTAAAACCTAAGAATTTGGTTTTTGGTTCTGAACGCGGGCGGAGCCGCGGGCAATGCTAGTAATAGAATATAATTTTAACAATAATTATTGCATTGCATTGTCGAAGCAGACTGAGCGTGTCAACGTGGCATAAACGAATGAAAATGTCATATATAAAGTGTCACAAAAGGTTTCCCACACGCAAATCAACATTCTGGCCTTTAATAGAAATACATACAAAAAATATATTTACAAAAATAAACTAAAAAGATGGGAAATTAACAAAGGATCATGTATTATGGAGTCCGAGACATAATATGTACATATTTCATAGCATATTTTATACAATATCCCTACATTTAAGTATTTTCAATCAATAAAAATAACTTACAATTTCATTTAAAACATTCGAGATAAAAAGCTTAAATCTAAACTTATAAATAAAATTGAAGTGTACGTTTGTGATATCAAAATAGATACCACATAGGTATTATTATAATATAATCATATTATGGTATAATATATTCCAAAACTTTCGATTGAATAGTTTTTTGTGTAACTAAAATGACAGTTTACAAGGTTAAGGTACAGGCTAAATACAGGGCCGAATTTAGGAGAGGCCAACCGGGGCCATAACCGGGGATTATTTTAAATTCTTTATTTCGTATGACATTAATGATAATTCTTAATAATAAATTCAATTTTTATGATAACACTAACCAAACAAATATATTTCATTTTTGCAACATTACCAGGGACCCTCTTAATACGACTCTGGGTAAATCTATTTGAATGGGACTTTCACTGGCGAGTATATCATTTGGTCTAAATTCTAAAGTGAATGAGTAAATTACTTTTTACTTTGAGAATATGAGTTCTCGCTCGTTAAATATAAAAAAAAACTTTAAAATTGGCGACGAATACATTTCCTAACACTATTAAATAAATCAAAATATCCACAGACAATTAAATTATTACAACTTAACTGTAAAATGCTGTCGTTAGTTCGGAAAACAGCCACTGAGGAAAAATAACTAATCACTAATCAGCGCCATTATTGAGGACTGAAGCGAAACTGGACTTTGTTTCTTAAATAAATTTATAGGACAATAATTTAAGTAATATAAAACTTTCCAATTAAATAAACATGGCGTATTTATTCAATTAAATATTAAATCCTTATAATTTGATAATAAGTAATAGTTGGAAACCCTGCAGTTAGTTGACGTCCTCACGACGGTCGTGCGGTCTGCTCGCTCGAAGTTAGCTTTCACGATCTCGTAGTAGCGGCCGTCGCTGGAAATTATAGATGAAAAATGTTGTAATTTAATTAAAAAATGTACTAATTATTCTTAAAAAATACAAATTTTAATACTTAAAAAAACAAAGAATTATGTCATAATTCCTTCTAACATAAATTGTTTTTTGATATTTATAATGCCGAAATTGTAAAAGGTACATAGCTATGAATATTCCTATAAGAATAAATTGTAAAACGTAAGGTGCACAAACATGCACTAAATAGGTAGGTAGTAGATAATCCGTGAAAAGTTCTTCACGCGACTCACGTTATTATTTTTATTTATTTAATATTTTATGATTACACTACAAATTACAATATTATAAATGCGAATTTATTTGCGTTTCTAATGTTAAGGCCGAACCATACTATAATACCGATCACAGTCTGTTCTCGGTCCGATATCGGTTTGGTAAAGTTTTTCTATACAAGAAACGTTGCTGGAGTGTGATTCGACCAGGACGTGACGCTTACTGATAGTCTGAATGCACTCATTGCTTCTTGTACAACAATACTTTATCAGATCGATACCGGACCCAGAGAGAACCGTAATCGGCACTATAGTGTGGAGCGGCCCTTTTTCTCTCTGTAACAGCTCAAAAGTTTGAGTGTAAACCAGAATTGAGATACCCTTAACTGTTAGTAACACTATTAGAAATGCGACATTTTGTATGTGTGTAATGTGAATGTATGTTTTCCCACTGAAACGTCTAGACCGATTTGGATAACATTTAGTAGATAAACCATAGTATTATACAAAGGCTTTAAGTACTGTTAGTAGTAAAATTTTCAAATAGGTGGCGCTATATGTATATCGCGAGTATAAGCTGCTAATCTAAATGTGTTCATGAAATATTTGTAACACCTCCAGGTAAATTTCTAAGAAATTAATAAAATTTCAAAGAAATCTATTTTTAACTATAACGCCGGCGTGTCCGCGGTCGTGGAGGGATTAATAACAATGACTGCTAGGTACCTACTTACGTATTGTGTACAGAATATAGAGCCCAAAACAATAGTTATTGAATTTTTTGTCTCTTTATCTGTATATCTCTGTGCATTTCACACAAAAAGTAAGCATAAGAATATAATATAAAAAAGAAAGAAAGAGACGCACAAGAGTTAGTATTATGTTTCTTTCATTGGTTTTATATAGTTTAATTAAATTTGGGCCCCGTGTCCTTATATGTGGCCCAGGACCTTTAATAGATTAAAGACTGCCCTAAATGTAAGTCGCTAGTAGGTATTATTATAAAAAGTAATTATAAATTAAAAATGAATAAACCCAATACGCAAATTAATTGTTATTTAACGATTACACTGGCACGCGTGAAGCACTTAATCGAATAATCATACGCCAAAATGCCTTACATCATTTTGGAAAAGAGCTGATACTCTTACACTGCTGGACCGATATTAACCAAACATAGCTAAGAACCACCGCAAGGAATCTGGCATTCAATTGAAAAAACCGCATTGAAATCGGTCCATAGCTTCAGAGCTACGATGCCACAGATAGACATACATACACACAGACAGACACCGACGTCAAACTTATAACACCCCTCTTTTTGCGTCGGGGGTTAAAAAACAGTCGTACACAAACTAACCTTAGCACAAGGCACTTCATTTTAACACATTTCACGCGAAGAATATCAATTGCCTTCTGACTTTTGTCGCTGAAACGTAAGTTTTCTGGGTCCCAGCGCAGCTCGAGACGCTCTAGATTCGGACAGCTGTTAGCGATGCCGTCCATTAGCTGAAAAAATATAAATATTAAAGGGATTAAAATATTTTTCGATGAAAACGGGATTAGTATTAAAGTGTCAGCAACTTAGCGCACTAGTACCACGTTTCCCAGATAAAAGACTGTAATGATTAAATTTATTGTTTCAATAGACTTTAGTTATCATTTTCTTTTCAAGTTATTCATAATTCAAAAAGTAGTTTCCATAGTTCCCATAAACGATCAATTTACCGTAAGATATTTCGAAAACGTAACATTTGAGGGCTTCATATTCCTAATATTATTTGTTTAACTGTCTATTATCCATTTTATCAGTTTTTTGTGAAAATAATTTAATTTACCTGATCTACGTGAATGTTAACCCCAAGACGCTCTTGCGTGCCCATGATAAGGATCCTGAAATTATAATAAGTAACTTAATGCTTTAAATTACTATTAAAAATGCACATCGTTTTATTATGTTTTCCGTTACTTTTAAACAAATTGACATGAACATTTTATTTATAATAAACACGTAAAAGATATTATTTCACTTCTATACTATTTCATATATAAAAAGATATTAGTTCATAGTGCGATATATTTATACGTAAGCTTTGAACGTACCTAATCTCAACTTTACCGCGTACAACAGAGCACTGAGCAACTAAGCATATAACTATCTTAGCTTTCTCTTTAAATCAAATAGCTACTTGACTAATTGATATAACAAAAATACAACTTTTCTTTAATTCAATATGCTAATTCTATCTGTACCTATAATTAAAAAAAACGGTCAAGTGCGAGTCGGACTAGCACACAACGGGTTCCGTACTACAATCGAATTTGCATTGTGGAAATTAAAAATTCGCCATCTTGGTTTTTTATAATTTGTTGTTACAGCGGCAATACAAACGCGCACTCTGAAAATTTTTACTCTACATAGTACATACATTTTACGGTACATGAGATACATCCCGCTGACAGACGGACGGACGGGCAGCGGAGGCTTAGTAATAGGATCCCGTTGGCACCCTTCGGGTACGGAACCCTAAAAGTCTTATCTAATGAGTCACCGAGATTAATATCGATAAGTTAAATCTAGTACCTACTTCTGTATCGACTTACTTAGTGATCATCTGAATTGATAAACTTATGCATTTAATTGTTATACATTACTACAGTGTGATGATAGTAATTCCCAATAAATGCCATACACGATGAAAATAGTCAAATGGTCGATAAACAAAGATTTTTAGTGTAAACAAATAACAATCTTAATCTATTTTGATTATGGCAGTCTTACTCGGATCTCACTGAGACTAAATAAGTGTGCAGGAGGTTTTATAGTGCACAAACACACGTGCACTTTACATTCTTTTGACATATTCTGACAGGTGGGACGAATGTAACACCAACTTCCCCAATTCCGGGCTGTTACTGAGTAAGACAGAAAACTCCTGTAATTATATCGGCCGACCCGGGACTTGAACCCAGGAGTTCTCGATCCTCTCACAGCGCTCAATCATATATTATCTGTCTAAAACCAACTAATACGGCCATCTTCATCATTGCTCTTAACTAAGATCGAAACCCCCAATAACTATTTATATCCGGTCCTGGACCCGGGATCATTCTCTTCACAAAGCTGTAACTAAGCGTATATTACATGCCTTTAACGAAAAACGTATCACATAATACTTTATTAGATTTACGCTAATATTACGGACATTTTAAATAAATGTATTATATTTAAAATTTTCGGATTTTTGCAGATTTCTTTTGATCTTTGGTTTCTGATGTTTTGAATGCTTTACAGCAATCATGGTCACGGGAAAGACTAACCTCTCATGTGTTAAAAAAGTAACAAATAATATGTCACTCACTTAGCGTTAGTGAGCAGCTGTAGCACACTCTGCCAGAGCTGGTCGGTGATGTGCGGCATGCCGCTCATCACGAGCCCCCACAGCTGGCTGCCGTGGCGCGACAGGAAGCGGTGCAGGGCTTCGTCGGTGATGTTATCTGATGAATCTACGTCTAGCGCTACTAAGTTCCTGGAAACATTGTTATTGATAAACTGATTAAATTGTAAAATACCTACTAAAAAGATGGCAACAAGTATATTATAGATAAAGAAACATAGCATTATTAACCCTATTTAAAAACTCCAATAGGATCCCATCAAAAGCGACAAAAGCCACATAGAAACCAATACATATTTATTGGTTTCTATGTGGCTTTTGTCGCTTTTGAAGGGATTCTATTGGTGATTTTCAACAGAGAATCTAACCACGTTAGTCGCTTCACAAAAGCAGTAATAAAATAATTAATAAAACATCTTATTAAATGTAAAAGAAATTATATCTTCCTAATGTACATAAGACGTTGAAATAAATAAGTTGGGACATTAACACACAGCACCATCTATGTAGTTCCATGGTAAGCTACGAGGCTTGTGTTATGGATACCAGACAGTTGATACACTACACATATATAACTTTAAATAGATACATATTACAAATATAAACACCCATGACAGAAGCACAAACATTTGTGTTTATCACACAAATGAATGCCCCCAGCGGGACTCGAACCCGCAACGGCTGGCACAGCAAGTAGGGTCACTACAAACTGAGCTAAACGGGTCGTCAAATAAGAATAAAGCAATTCATTTAAATAAGTTATTGCTTGGCCAATTCAGGAAGGTAGCTAGCTGTACTTCTGTTTTTTTAGGATATAGAAACAAACTCAAAATAACTTTTTCAATGTACTGCATACATATTATACATATAAAAATGGTTTTAGTAAGATTATTGAAAAAAATAGTAATAGTATTTAATCATCAGTATTCTCCATACATTTCCTAGCAACGCCTCTAACAAAAACAAACACAAACCAATATCAGCAATAGGTAGGTACCTACTAAATACCGACGGAAGAAAATCGTGCATTCGATATTTCCGCGACAGCTTTTCTTTTCGGATATATCAACATAGGATAAGATAGTCAACGAAGACTACGTAAGCTGTTTTTTTTTCATAGCCTAAAAACGGAGTAAAATTACGCCCGAGTAACTCATACGCTATGTACTTGAAATATTTTTTAAAAACAATTGTAGCATGTTGTGTTCAAAATATAGACAAAACAATGGTTATTGAAATTTTTGTCTGTATGTCAGTTTGTTTGTTTGTCTGTAGGTATATCTGTGCGAGTTTCACGCAAAAAGTACTGAATCAATTTTAACTAAATTTTGTGTAGTGATAACTTATAATTCGGGTCAACATTTAGGATACCTTTTACTACAGGAAAATCTTACATCGGGAAAACATAATATGTAACTATACTTAAATTAACTATTTTAATATTGATAACTATTAATTACTTCTGTCAAATTATTATTAGAAATTAACATGTTATGAAAACATGATTAAACACTTGCTAAACCATAAGAGATCCATCAAATTAATGTACCAGTAAATAAAATGAGACTAGAGCTGAGACCATAAAATTGTATATTGTCATAAAAATAAACTTTAATCTCACCTCGCCGTGCCAGCTTCCATCCACGCTTTCAAAACTGAATCATTAAATCCATTTATTTGTCCCGCACTCAAAAACCTTAGGTTAGGAATCCTCGACAACATGTCGATGAGACACTCGGTGGATAAATCAGTGGCCGTCACATCTAACTCTTGGATTGAAGATTTTTCCCATTCTACTTGCATCACGTACTCTGAATGGAGGCCTGTAATTTTTTTAAAGTTATATTATTATTATAAATGTTGAAATTAATATATTATTATTTAAGTATAGAATTGTGTTATGTAATTTTAATTGCGAGAAAAGTGCATAGTACATACATATTGTAATCATTTGCTTTTTTGTAATCTACTAGCGACTCACCCTCGTTTCGCTCGGGTTCGTCTCTAGCTTGATTGCCAATACAAATTTTCATCCCCATTTTCACCTCTTTAAGGCATGATTTCCGGAATAAAAAGTATCCTTTACCCTTGCCAGGGTCTCAAGCTATCTTCTTACCAAATTTCATTTAAATCGGTTCAGTAGATCCAGAAAATACCCTAGGGGGTTGTAGGCAACATCACAAACTCACAATCTCACAAACTCACACTCTTTACCTCTTTATAATATTAGTATAGATGTATAAGTGACGGACAAGCATAAAGACAAGACTAACATACTTTAGTAAATTTATTTCGTTTTTATTTTTTATCGCTTTTGATGAAATATTCTCAGAAATATCTCTTTCTCCATGTATCTTCATACTTGAGTACACATCAAAAGTAATGTTTTGTAAGAACTGAATTAAATATACATATATACATATATAAAAATAAATTGAGTAGATGAGAAGAATATAATATGTAATTTCTTTTTAACATTATTTTTACTTACTGCCGCAGTGCCATATTGTTGGACGCATGAAAAAGAAAACCAGGTAATTGGTAAAATTTAAATGATAATAATATTATTATTTTTAAATACTAATTACTCACTGCATCCATTCATTAGCAAGCAAGTAAGCCTTCTCGAACGTTGAAAAAGCGTCTTCATAGTGGAACCTGTTACTTTGTTACAATAGTTTACTGCGAGGCATTCCAACTGAAAGTTAATAGCTAAATTATTAAAAATCTTTCTAAATTTAAACAAAACTTGTTTTTTTTTAGAAAATTATTCTTTTATGTATATAATATTAAGGTGATAGATTTTTTTAGAAACATAGTCAAATTACCGTTATACATCTAACGGTTTAATCGAATGTTAGGAAATACAACAAGCAAATTGTTGTTATATTTTATTTTAGTTTTAAATATTTAGTTATCTAAAATAAATTATACCTGAATACAATTAGAGCTGAATGCGTCAATATGAGAATCATCTACAAAGTTTATGCCGTACAAGTTGATCACGCGCAGGTTTGGGGTCGCTGACTTGAGCTTGTGAACGTTTATTACTTCATAAATTTCCTCTTCCTCCTCTTCTACTTTCTCATACGTCCCTAAAAAAGGATATAAAAAGGTTTTATATCTATAACATATTATAATGATATAAATAGGTTTTATATTTATAGCATATTATAACAAGAGATAAAGGGAGAGAATTAGACAGCTTTAAGAATTACAGTACAGTAAGCTGTTAGTAAATAAATATTATCATAGCCTTGCAATTTCAACAAAATTACCGATAAGGTGTAATATTTCTAGTCCATTGATGAAGTTGTAAATTTTTCTCATGAACCCTTCCATGAAGATGACCTCAGATAAACAAATGCACAAATAACGCAACTTAGTCGGGAATGCCTGCATCTCTGAGAAATCGTGAAGCTGCATAGCTGAAGAAAAATCATTTATGTGAAAATTATCCCGAAATGGATCAGGTTTATTATACACTTTATTAAAATCGTATGTGCTTATGTATTAAAATAAAAATTTACTTGCCATAAACATAATATGTGAGTGAAACTTTTATAAAAATAATAAAATTTTACCTGTACTAAAATCAAGTAGCATGTGGGTCAAATTAGGACATTTTGCTGCCAATTCGTGCAAAACTGTGTGCGTTATGAGTTCTATGGGCAGTTCAATGTACCGAAGGGAAGGGCCAAATCTTATTGATATTAATGCCAACAGCGATTCAAGAGAGCCTAGAAATAATAAAACAGGTTTATAAATAAATATCTACGATACGTACTAAACAATACGATTACTAATTTATCAGTAACATTCTAGAAGCTATTCTAAAACCTGGCTAGATATGGTATACATTCATAGATGGCGCTCTTATTATATTTTACTAGTAAAACCTTGTTCCTCAGTTGCGTTCCTGAGTGCCTTTAGTTTTTAAACTCAGATGCACGTTTTGCACTGATTGCACATTTTAGCAAATTTTCTTGTTAATAGTAGTCTCCAAGATAATTACATAGTTTATGTGTGCTAAATTCAATCAAAATCCGTCCAGCAGCTATAACGTGAAGGACTAACGTTTGCTACAAACAATTTTTTTCCTGTTTATATTAGAAGTCCGATCGTTTATTGAATAATAAATATGTTTTTCTATATTACGTACCTACATGTAATCCAGATATTTCAGGTCTTAAACTGACATGGGTCCATAGTTTTGTATCGTACGCGACCATCCGCCATCTCTTGCATACCGTGGCCATGCGACATATCTCTCGATGCGTTAAATAGGAGAATATATTCAGCAAAACCTTATCGGGGAGTTTTTCTATAGTCTGGAATGAAAAAAATAAAATTACTTATCTTCATTTTTGTACACATAACATTAAAACTAAAATGAAACAATATTTTCTTATTTACATACTCGGTCTATTTAGGGACGTTACAGAAAAAATATCTTTATTTTTTAAAACGTAGCAAATTAAATGGAAAAGTTTATTACCGTATTAGCAAATGGACTTCTGATTTGACCTCCTTCGGTCAAATAAACTTGACTAGCTTCTAAAGCCAACTGTCCCCAAACATCCGTTGGTATATCCATACTAATAAAAGACCAAATTAACCGGAAAACACTACAAAAGCATAGAAAATCCGAAAATTCGATACTTTCTCTAATATAACAGTTTCACTTCAAGCGCGAAAAGTTCACGTGAGCTAAGAATATAAGACGCTGTAGTTAATTTTGGAATCATCTGGGAGACGATGGTATGGTACAAAACATCTAAAATTCTAATCAGTTACATACTTTTTATTGGTGAATGACTTATTTACCATGGAATAAACAAGGAACTGCATATCTAGTTTGTTTATTTTGGTTAAACTCATATGAACATGAACTGGTTCTCATATGTTTGCTAATACTATTTGATAACATCCGATGTTATACATTTAGCGGGAAGTTTAAAATCTATGGTCCGTTTACCTGCTTAAATGCTTTAAGTGGACTATTTTATGGTGACATATAGATACTTACATGTAGTAAATGAAAAAACAATCACTTATTATTTCAGTTCAGATGACCAAAAAGCAAATTCTTAGGTTTTACATAATAGTACTCTTATAATGCAGTTTTTGTATTTTTGCTCAGAATTGAGATATTTTCCCGCGGGTAAAAAGTATCACCATACCAAATTTCATTAAAATCCCTCTAGTGGTTATTCTGTGATGCGGTAACAGATAGACAGAAAAATTCTAAAAACTATAGATTCGGCGTGTGTATCGATAATAATGTCTATTTCAATAAGATTTTCCAAAAAATATTTAATGTACAGATTCGGCTTAGTTACAATTTTATTACATGTACCTATGTATAGATTAACATTGTTTACAATGTTCATGGCTTTAATGCATATGACTCGGCAACTATTTGCTTGAACAAAAAAGTAGCTTAGAAACATCTACCACAATTTTAAAGCCCTCTCCAGAAATACCTGACAGTTAAGTGAACTCATTTTTTAATGCCTCAGTTATTTTTCCTAATTTGACTGCAAAATTGTGTAGCAGATCATACGAACGACCTTTTTATTAAATTTTAGTCATCTCCAACAATAAAAATTGCTATGGCTTCAGATCACAATCTATTTGTATACTAAATTTTAAAAATCCATCCAATCGTTTCAGCGTATAATAATAATATAAAACACACATACAAGTTTTCGCATTTATAATAGTTTATAGTAGTCAGAATTACTACTTAGACATTACCTACATTTATAGAATAATCATTTATTTAATGTACATAAGTTCAAAGTAACAATTATGAGTATCAGCGAGTAGAGTGCATGCTATTGATATAATAAATTGACGGCGATACATCCAACTGATTTCATTCAATAAACTCATACATACAACATAATATATGCGAAATGACTCTCAAGAATTATCTAAAACACATGCCCTGGCAAGCTCATCCAATGGTAAGTCTAAAAACACGGCAAAAACATCACCTTTCTAATAATTTGTCAAGGCAATTGCAAATCAATTTCGTGCTATCTGCTTGTCGCTAAGGACGAAATTAGCGTAAATATCAATTGTATAGCTAATTTGTCCCGTCTGCGATCTTGGTTCGGTATGCATTGGCAAGTAAAAAGGTATTTCCTTGACTTATGACTCATCTGCAGACTGTTTAGCATTTTTACTCTGTAAAATTCTACATTGCTGAAAATGTTAAATTCCACGATAGCAATTATATTTTTGTATTGAAGCAAATTAAATAGATCATTTTATATTATAAATTAATTAAAAACTGTTTAAATGTTAATGGCAAATTTAAAATTTCCAGTCATCAAGACAGTTTCTGACATAAATATTTGCAAGACTCCGACAAACAATTTAAAAATTCTAATTCTATTTAATTTTTAACTAAAAATCTTCTGACTTTCTGACCAAATAATAAAAATAACAACACACAAAAATACGATCGAATTAAATACCTCATCTTGTTTATGAATATACTTATTTTAAAAAGGAAAATTCTGCCTGTACTAGTAGTAGGGGAGCCCAAGAGGGGATTTTCTGTAGTTACTCGAGCGCGGCAGATTAACATAAAAGAGGTTACCTTGCACTCTATTGAGTACTTTCACCATAATATAAGTCTTCTATATAAAGGGGCGCGTCTAGGGAAGCCGATTAAAATATTTAAAAAATGTTTTGATAAGGTAGAAATATTTGAAACCGTCAGATTAAGGTGTGGTAGGCTAGTCACATCCTGAAAAGTGTCCAATTCAATAATCTGCCGATTTGCACAAGCCGAAGAGGCAAAAATCGACTATAAAGTTTATGATGATTTTTGCCTCTTAGGCTTGTGCAAATCGGCAGATTATTAAATTGGACACTTTTCAGGATGTGACTAGCCTACCACACCTTAATCTGACGGTTTCAAGTATTTTTACCTTATCAAAACATTTTTTAAATATTTTAATCGGCTTCCCTAGACGCGCCCCTTTATATAGAAGACTTATATTGTGGTGAAAGTACTCAATAGAGTGCAAGGTAACCTCTTTTATGTTAATCTGCCGCGCTCGAGTAACTACAGAAAATCCCCTCTTGGGCTCCCCTACTATAGAGCAATATATCGATTTGCTGTCAGGTATATAAATAGATTGCTCCTGTAAAGCGTCTCATCAAAGGCATGTTGATTGATGGACATGCTTAGCGGAACCAACATTGAACTTTTCTCAACTTTAATATTAGACTCGCATCGAAAAGCTTGACGCATGTCATTCGTCAAAATTAAGAGTCCCGGCAGATGTAAGACATATGCACATCTGCCTGCGTAATGGATTGAGGAATGGAAATTAGAATGATCATGATCTAATTTTATCCCTAATTTTATGTAATCATATCTGTACATTGTATATATGTATTCACGTTTAAGCATAGAACATTGTAATTTAAGTATGTACATTTATTTAGATTTCTGCGATAAAGAATGGTATCAATGTCACCTTTAACTATAAATTAAATTAAAATTCTTTTTTAACTCCCATAAGCTATTTTAAAAGTACTTATAAGCGACCTGTCCTTTTCAACCTTTTTTATAATATGATGATGATCCGAACCAACTGTTAACATATTAGCAGTACATATTAGGTGATGTTTATTTTTATTTATCATTATCAGCATTCCCACTTTTCAGAATTTATTAAACTAACAATATCCCTTACAACTAGATTGCCAACTTTAGTTTTTATTAAGGTATATTATTGTACTCCCACTCCAGGTATTACCGCCTTCCGAAATATACATATCTTTAATAGTTAATTCACTGACAAAAAGCCTCAACATAATATTGTAACTGATTAGAATAAAAGCAAAAGTGAAAATTAAAATTTTTCGAATATATGCACATAAATCAGGCAACATACTAACAGGAAATCGTCGGCTTAACCTGAAATTACAATATTTAATCGCCTACTCAGTTTATAAACAAGATGGAAACATAAATATCTTAATTAAAGCAAATTTATTAGTAAAGGAAAATTTTAAAACATAAACATTGCTAACAAAAACGAATTTATAATTTCAGTAAAGCTTTTGGTTCTTCCGTAATTGAAGCTAAAACTTTGTTTACACTAGTATAGTAGATGATATTATAAGTTTATTGAGCTATAGACCAACATATACACATGGTTATTTGCATAAAGATTGTCTATGTTCTGGGTACTGCATTAGTGCTATGTTCATTTCCCCTCCAATAAAGCATTATTTTAAACTGAGAAACGCGTCAGAATTAGTGATACATATGTATAATTGATTGTTACATGAATAAAACGTAAAGTGGTTCCGAGTTACTAATGAGTATAGGCGAATTTTAATTAAAGAAAATAATAAATTTTAAGTAACTTGCACTTTTTGCATCTTTCCTGTCTTTACATCTATTTTATATATCCTTTTCTTTCGGTTACCTGTAAGAGTCTGTAAGAGTCGCTATCGCTAGACTCTAGACTGTGTTATAATAATTAAAAAACAGTATCTATTCATAAATCCTTATGTGTATACAATGTCTTTATAAGTTCTTTTTTAAGGTGATCATGTCTATAATATGTGTCAGCGTAATGCTAACATGACTATTTTGAAATTACACTTGAATACGAAATTACGGATGACAAAATCATAAAAATCTTAAGTTAACACACGTACCTACCTATTACAAGAAAAAATTCTTATGAAAATAAACTTTGACCACAAACGTAGGTAGAATATAATTTAGATTTCTATCACGCACATCTGTTTTAAATCCGGGTGTCATATTTTATGTATTCATTTTATAAAATACTAACAAAACGAAGAGTGGCATGCATCTTATTGGTCTTGCTCTTTTTACTCTTAAAACTAAATGTAAGCCCTAATTTTATTTACTTAATACTTACAACTAATATAGTTTATATACTATATTTACAACTATTAATAGTGTTTTACATACATACATACATGTAGCACTACAAAAAGTTAAAAACCACTGAGGTTTGATTTAAACGCTAACACTAGCTTGCGTAAATTTTAAATTTTACATAATAAGTAAATATAAACAAAACTTAAGAGAAAAAAGAAAGAATAGTAAAAGTACATTATGTAGTAAAACACTGCCAAACATAAAAAGAAAACGTTAAGACAAAATAAATATAATCGTATTCCACGATGCTATGAGATAATCCTTGAAAAATATTTTTTCAAGTAATGTCATTTGGACAAAATAATTACTCACCAAATATTTCAATAATATATTATTTTTATAAAAAGTAATGCTAATAAAAAGCCTATCAAACTACTATATTACACTATATTTAAGGGTAAAAACAAATAGATATTATATTATTTTGAAATTATAAATAAAAAAAATATATCTTTAAAAATTTTGGCAGTTATGTGGTTGTAATTTTGAAGCATCTAAATTGACATTCATATTTCAAATATGTCGCATGTCTCGTGACGTTTTTAATATTTTAATGGATTTATTTTTAATGTTTGGATGACCTAACATATAATTTATTTTTTGCGCACGACTAAATAAAAGTGTTTTATAAGAGTAGTGTTAAAATA